TTGTCACCAGGCAACAGTAGCCCCTAGGGCCCAAGCTCCCACAGGTGACACCCTGTGTATTATAATTACCTGGATAGACATATAGGAACCATGTATTACAGGTAACATGATGTAATAATGCTATACATTTTGTATTTATGTAAAAAGTTTTGATAAGTTTTAGGGGGGATGAATATTTTATGGGGGGGATGAGTATTTAATGCATTAAATACTCATCCGGATGAGTATTTTATGGGGGATGAAAATTGTATATGTCACCGGTACATGTAGCTAGTCTTAGGCTATGTTTACACAGAGACGTATACTACCGATTTTATATGTATCTGGTATACCTAACCACCATTTTCCTTCTTGTTCAAAATGGACAGTTGTTATCTCCCTGAGACAATAGTTTCTCCATGGTTTACGTCTGGTACCACATGTGTATACAAGTTAAAGGAAGTCCTTTCACATCCTATGTCACACCAAGAATGCCATATGGACTGGAAGCTGTAACACTTCCAAACAAAATTAAGAACAATCTTAACATCTATCACAAACAAACCCTAAAACATCTCATGGGGCTACCAAAACATGTGGCTGATTAAACAGACCATTCTCATGTTTGGTAATGTTATACGTATATCATCAGTTGAAAAAGATATTGCAGAAAGACAGGAGCTGGGTTATATATGTCCAAACAACCTTCTCTAAACAAAGACCAATTTTGTCCATTCTTTGTGTCAGAAAGCGCATCTAGTCCAAATTATCTTTCTTCCCACGGCACCTGGACAGCCAACTGTCGAGTCGCCCTATCATAGCTTACCTATTTCGAGCCAGTGACGTCACGTCACTCACAACCTCACTCTCAGGCCTGAATACAACACTGCCTGCGCACGTTTCTGTCGGTGTTTGAATCGTGTTTGGATTAGTCCCAACTTCAAACATTGAATTACTTAAAATGTGTGCACTATGTGTAAATTTGGCGATATCCCATTTAGGTAAGTAAATGCAATGAATTAAATGTGGAGTAATTTGAATGTGGACGAAACGTGCTCTTTAGCCTTCAGGTCTTACTTGTAATTTAGCCGAGTATGACTTCCGGATTTTTGTCACACGACGGCAGTTGCATTTTTAGAAATGTACTTTTTAGCTTAGATTTGAATGAGTGTTTTAGTTTAAGTTATGGTTACCTGAAAATATGGTACATGGTTTCTATCCCACGCTGCAAGGCGTTGTAGAACATATGCACACACATGTGTTACAGGTAATTCCGGGTACGGGTTACGTAACCAGGTCCAGTACACTCTGCCGATTGAGCTATATAGCTATAAAGACCTATATAGCTATATACAACTATAAATTATAGCTGTATTGAGCTAAATTTTTCAGATTTCAAATTTCATTAAATTAAAGCAAAGTCGCATAAAACAATAAGGTTAATGGTAATGTTGACTACAAAAAGTTAGATGTTTATTTTCATTTTTCATAAATGTAAAATTTCCGATTTCTTTACATCATTATTTTTTAAAAAGAATACTTATATTTAATGTCTTTTATTATCAACTTAATGATACAATCTTCTTTTAAATGCGACTTCTTTCCGTTTTCCTTAAAAAAGAAAATCACTTGAAAATAGCTCAAAAGACCTATTTTAGATAGGTCAATAGAGCTATTATAGGTCTTTACAGCTATATAGCTCAATCGGCAGAGTGTACTGGACCTGGTAACAGCCTATATATAAATCTCGTCGTAAGAAAGCTACATTATCGCAGCTAACTAGCGACCTTTACATTATAGGAGTACCAGATTTCATGAACTGTGTTGAGCCAGTTTGGATGTATGGCAAAGAGTTTAGATATGTAGTATATATATATATATATATATACTTGTTCAGACGAAAAACATACAAACTAGTTACCTACAGCAAACTTATATACACTTCTTAAGGTCATTCTAATATGGTTGTCACACCAAAGTGTATATCAAATTCAATAATGCATTCCGTTAGCATTAAACAATCCCTGTCACAAAAAAATCATCCTCCAATATTTCTCAAACATAATTTGCACACTAAATGAAAAAAATAAAATAATAACTGATGAAAAAGCTCACTCTTTTATGTTCATTTTCCAAGCTGAATAAAAGTCACAATTCAGGAAAAAATCCATTAAACTTGTAAATAGCATAAGGTGGGAGAAAAATGTAAGAAAATGTGTCAAATCACCAGAATAATGGCATATAAATCACAACTAAGCACAATATTATATTAGCCACACGTGTCATATAAAGTGCTATGTATATTATTCTGGCTAAACGCGTTATCTCAAGTGTGTCTTGAATGGTCACACATGTCTTATATAGTGCTATGTATATTATACGTGTTAACTCGAGTGAACGTGAATGGTCACACGTGTTATACATCGTGCTAATGTGTATTATTGTGGCTTAACGTGTTAACTCACGTGTATCTTGAATGGTCACATGTTTCATGTACAGTGGTGCTATGTATATTATACTGGCCTAACGTGTTATCGCAATTGTATCTTGAATGGTCACATGTTTTATGTATAGTGCTATGTATATTATACTGGCCTAACGTGTTATCTCAATTGTATCTTGAATGGTCACACGTGTCATATAAAGTGCTATGCTTATCATACTGGCTTAACGTGTTGTCTTAACGTCTTCTCGTCAGTAGTGTGTGTATCATGACAGGTCTGTGTGTCACTGGCAGTGCAATATATATCATACTAGTTTGGCGTGTTATCGTCAGTGCTATGCATATCCTGACAGGTCATTATGTCACCTAAAGTGCTTTGTATATTATACTAGTTTGGCGTGTTATGTTAACGTGCTATCGTCAGTGCTATGTATATCATGATAGATGCTACACATATCGTGGCATCTCAATATGTCAGCCATAGTGATATAGATATTATACTAGCTTAAAGCGTTTTCTAAACGTGCTATCGTCAGTGCTATGTATATCCTGATAGGTCATTATGTTACCAATAGTGATATAGTTATTATACTAACTATACGTGCTATCTAAACGTGCTATTGTCAGTGCTTTGTATACCCTGACAGGTCAATATGTCACCTAAAGTGCTATAGATATTAACTTGCTAAACATGCTATTTCAACGTGCTATCGTTAGTGCTATGAATATCCTGACAGGTCATATAGTGCTATAGATATTATACTTGCGGAACGTCTTATCCTCAGTGCTATGTATCTAGTTAAACGTGTCATCATTGGTGCTATGTATTTACTGGCTTAAAGCATTATTCTATCATGTTATCTATAGTGCTGTATGTATACCTTGACTGGTCAAACGTGTCACTTATAGTGCGCTATATATTATACTACATGTAGCTAAACGCATACGTAGTATCTTCAGTGGTATGTGTATTATGACTGGTAAACGAATTACCTATACTATATATTATTCAAGCTTGTGATATGCATTTATGTTCATATAGGTGTGTGTATCACTATCTTTATGAGGACATTCTAGCATCATACCGAACTATGTAAGATATTATGGTTTTGTGAAAACGAATCACATGGTCTCATTCTATGTATATATGAAGATGAGGGTATAGTCGTGTACATGTACTTTTATCCATGTTTGTAGTGTTAATGCTAGTATTGTTTGCGAGTTCGTGTGTGTGTGTGTGTGTGTGTGCGCGCGCGATTAAATTGAGTGTGTGTGTGTATGATAAGGATAGATGCATGTATATATTTTATGATCATTGTAGTGATTACTTGACGGTTTACTAAAAAGGTAGTTTAGTGAAAACCGGATTATGTAGTTAGTGTTTCTATTCTATTTTCCTGTCTTAATCATTGTGCACTTACGTAAACTCGATGAGGTTTGTATTGCGTGTGATCAACAGCCCGTGCGTTTAATGATAAATTAATTTCAAGCCAAATATCCATGCTCTGTTTGTTATTGTTTTTATACAGTATTGATGCTAACTTTGTCTTCAGTACATATAAGAATATTAATATATGTTAAATTATATATAAAATTTCGTTAATTTTTATATACATCTTCAAACAGTGTATTTGGATGTGTGCACGATGTGTTAAAAGGTGATTGTTGTGTTGTTTACATGGATTATACATGGACGTAGGTTTATCTATGTGTATGGGTTTGTATAATATATAAGTATAAAATACATGTATATAAATGTGTGTGTGTATTTGTGTGTGTGAGTAAATCTGTGTATGTGTATGTATTTGTATATGTATATGTGTGATGTTATGTGTGTATATATATGTATATATGTATATTATTACTATACATAAAATCCTATGGTTACATTTTAGCTACATTTATTCCGATTTAAGTGATCCTAACCTTATATAAAACGTTAATATAAATAATCCCCGCCTGAACTGCGTATTAGTTAGTACTTACATTCAACATGTTGGTTACCTTATTCCTTTACGAGACTGAATATATGGCTTATTGTCTTTTTTACATGCTATCTTTCATTTGTATATGTTCACATCGAGGCTTCTTTTCTTCTTTCTTCAGCACTGGCACAGGTAAACAAAATATGTTGCTGGATTGCACAATTTGCACAATGTCCATGTATGATAACGACTCGCTATTTTGTAAAAAAAAAACCAATTTTGTTTATTTGATAATGGGTAATTCTTACATGTGTCACAGAATAGCGATCGGAATATTCTATTCTAAGGTCTACGGTAAATGTGCGATGAAATCATTTATACTTGTATTGTTTAGTTCCAAAATGTTTTTATGGATGCTCGACCGTGGTCGGATCTTTCTTTCATGGTAAATAACTCGATTAAATATTTTATTTTTTCATGTTTTCGAAATTTTGAGATTTCAACAATTTTGTTCTACTTTTATTACAACATATGGATATTGAATCCAATCCTGGCCCGAGACTTGACGAGCTTTCGATATTTTACCTTAAAATAATAAGTGTTCGGAATAAATTGGATATAGATATAGCCGGTGAATATGACATTATATGTTTACCAGAAACTCATTTAAATGACCAGGTACATACAGATGACATACTTATAGCTGGATTTCATGAACCTTTTGCTTTTGATGGGAACTTTGCTGGTGGAAGGTGTTCTGTTCTACACTAACAATCTTCTTAAAGTAAACCGTTTATCGGAATTATAATATCCCGGCGATGAGGTAATTTGGATAAATGTCACACTATCAAATTCGTCCTTCATCAGTCTGCTTTACCTTTCTGGGAAAACCTGCGTACGTCTAACAACAATGCTCTAGATATCACTCCAAATGTAATAGTAACTGGTGATTTATTAACTGCATCTACTAACCATGTTCTTTTTGACATTATGAATTCTTTTAGTAAAACCAATGTTATAAATGAACTTGTATCGGACCGACTAGATCCAGCCTATTCGACCTTATTATTTTAACTCAATCCCTTTCCTGTATTGATTCTTCTGTGGTATCATTTGATAACTCTTTCCGTGACCATGATGGTTGTACTGCTCGTATTAAAATTACATGTGCTTTTAGATCCATTTATAAGCGTAAAGTTTGGCTTTATAAGAGGGCGGACTTTCAATTGTTTAATAATCTTATTTCTTATTATCTTTTTCTAAATTGCGACTTCGTTGAAATTTATGTATTCCATCTAAAGTTGTCATTTTAAGACCAAATGACAAACCTTGGATGACCTCCGAACTAAGAAAAAATTGAGAATTCGAGATAGGTTGCACAAAAGCGCGAGTTCAACCAAGCCTCTTCCGGATGTTAATAAATTTAAGTCTCAACGTAATAATGTTAACAACATGAAAAAAAAACATGCCCGTTTTATATTTTATGAAAACGTTCAAGGTATAATTGAAGAGTATTCGTCTGATCCAAAATCTTACTGGGGACTTATGAAACGGTTAATGAAATCCACTGGCTCTTCACAATCCAAACCTACTCTTGTAGATCCTTATACTAATGACGAAGACAAAGCTAACTTATTAATTGACTATTTTTGTAATATTACACAAGTAAATGATACTTACACTGTGGTTCCTATTGTGGAGCCAAAAACTGGCAAAACGTTTGGTTCTATTAGAATATATAGTAATGAAATTCGAGACGTTCTACAGATATTGAAGTTCGGTAAGGCCTCGAGTGAGGATGGAATCAGCCATCATATGTTAAGAAATACTTCACAGTCTGTTTGTATTCGACTTGAAATTATTTTTAATATGTCTTTATCGGCAGGTATCTTCCAAACTGCTTGGAAAAAGTCATGCCACTGTTTAAAAACAGCGACAGGCATTCTCCTTCTAACTATAGGCCAATTTCACTTTTATCTACTGTTGGAAAAGTTTTTGAGCGAGTAATCTTCAAACACCTACATGATTATTTCTTTGAAAACTCATTGTTTTATAAAGACGAGTCGGGTTTTATGCATGCTCATTCTACTGTATATCAGCTAATTGAAATTTAACCCAACTTTTGTATTGCTTTTGCAGAACAAAAACCATGTATGTATGGTATTTTGTGATATCTCAAAGGCTTTTGATCGGGTTTGGCATAAGGGTTTGATAGTTAAGTTAAAATCTTACGGAATCATTGATGAATTGTATACCTGGTTAGAAAATTATTTATTTCATAGGCATCAGAAAGTTTTCTTAAATAATTCTTATTCCCAATAAGATTTGAACGAAGCGGGGGTTCCTCAAGGTTCAATTTTTGGACCGCTTTTGTTTTTAAAATACATTAATGATATTGCTGATGTCTTTGCTCGTCTTTTTGCAGATAATACTTCTTTATTACAGTCTTCTTCATCTTGAAATCCAAATAGTATTGAATAGGGATATTGAGTCTTTAAACGTATGGTCTAAAAATTGGTTGGTAACATTTAATTAAGAAAAAACCGAGATAATATTTATTTCTAATTCTATTGACATAGAAGAAGATTTAGATTTGAAATCTGATGGAAAGACTTAAATTTTACAGACCATCATAAGCATCTGGGAGTAGTTTTTAATTCAAGCGCAAAGTGGGGGGATCATATTAATGCTATTTATAGTTCAGTTATGAAGAAAATTAACGTCTTACGGAGATTGAAATATTTGCTAAATAGAAATAGTCTTTTAAAAATTTATAAATCATTCATTTTACAAGTTTTAGAATATGCTTGTGAATTATGTGATGGTTGTACTTAATTTGAATCAGAAAAAAATATAGAAAGCCCAAAGAGAACCTGCTCGAATTATATCCGGTCTTCCTTCATATGCCCGTATCAAAGATTTACATTTTGAAACAGATTTAGAAACTCTTTCTAATCGTCGAAAAGGTAGAAAACTCAAACTTTTATACAAAATGCAAAACAACTTAACTCCAGATTATTTAAACGATCTCCTGCCACCTACTATTGCAGAAAATAACAGGTACACTTTTAAAAATAACAGTGATTATAGAGTTCCTCTCTTAGGGCCTTCTCTTACCAATCTTTTATATATACCTTCCACTCTTCGTAGCTGGAACTCGATAGATCTATCAGTACGATCGTTGCCCTCTATACATTTATTAAAAAACTCTCTTACCTCATATGTACAACCATCCCCTCCTATCTACTTCAGTTTTGGAGAACGTAAATTGAATATTATACATACTAAACTGAGGCACAATTGTAGTTCCATTAAGTATGACCTTTACAGGGTTAATCTTGTCGAGAGTCCATTTTGCATCTGTGGACATCCATGTGAGAATGCCTTTAACTTTTTCTTTGAGTGTCAACTTTTTAGCAATGAAAGGCATATTTTGTTTCAAAATTTGAATGCCTTAGGTATAGGTTAAAATTTAGAGATTCTTTTGTTTGGCAAATCAGATCTTTCGGTAGACCTTAACTCTTACGTTTTTAGACACGGCATAACATATCTTTTGTCTTCTGGTAGGATTAAGGACCTTTTAATAAGTAAAACAAATCTTTTCACACATTTTGTTTATATTCCATTCTCTCTTTTCAAAACACTTATTTCCCTGTACATGTACATACAGGTAGTTTGAGTTAATTATAGAAAACTTTGCATCTTTCATCATCGATGCATACTGGGAGCATGAACTCATCTAGAAGCTCCTCTATCTATCTCTCTCTCTCTCTCTCTCTCTCTCTCTCTCATCTTTATGTACTACATTAGGAAATCTGACTGCCTGCAGGTTGGAAACAGGAAAAAATAGATGAAAAATAAAATATGCATTGAATGTTAAAAACAGGTATTTATAATATTGGTATAATATCTTGGTACACTCAAATTTGTACGACTACAACAAAATTTAAAGCAATCTCGCGATCGATATCGGGAAGCATTGTACCTCAATTATGTTTGAGAAATATTGGAGGAGGGTATTTTGGTGACAGGGATTGTTTAATGCTAACGGAATGCATTATTGAATTTGATATACAGTTTGGTGTGGTAGCCATATTGGAATGACCTTAAAGTAGAGACAATGTTTTGCAGAGTATTTTACTTGCATGGTTTATTGGAAAATAACAAAATCACAACCATTTTCTATTGTCCAGCAGTAATGCATTGTGTGTGATGAACCAATGAAAAAATACACTAGCCCTATGTTATGTTATGTTGCTTGAATTGTAACCCTGTACATTATTGGCATTCTAGTAAAGTAGTTGTTTATTCTTACCTCTGATTAAGGAGAATGTTATAATTTTGACACATCATTATGTATTAGATAACGCCGGTGTCTTGATGATCGATTATGCTACAGTGTTTGCTTAACGTTTTCTTTCTTTCTCATAAGGATATCAGGACTTCATGGTAATATGTACATTTTTTTTGTATGTGACCAACTTGCATTCATACTGGCATGAACATTGAAAATGTGTTGTTCAATTCTCATATTTACATTCTAAATATTTAGTTATTATTGACTTAAATATTGATATTTCTTTATATTATCGATATTGAAGTGTCTAGGTCCTCAACGCAATCAGATTCCTGGAACTGCCTAGCATCACCAAATTGTTTGGTACTAAGCACAGGTAGTAGCCTCGTCTGTCAATACACCTATATCATAGGTGTATTAACAGACGAGGCTAGTACCTGTGTACTAACAGTTCTTGCACATAATTTAAGTCGAGGCGGGAGGAGAAACTTCAAAATGACACTGATCGAATTGCATTCATAGATCTTTGTACACACTTTCTCCTGGCGATGCCTATAAGGAACTTGCAGTAGAAATGTGCATAACTATAGATGAATTAATTATATAATATATCCTTATTCAGATAGATTGATTTTCAGGATCAAAGGTTGAAAAACCCCATATATAGCTACCATCTGTGATGTGATGTGGTGTCGGAAAACTATTCAATAATGATGGACGGACAGACGGCAGTCAATCCAACTGCCGAAACTAGTACTAGAGACAGCACATACTTTTAAAAGCCTGTGTAATAAATAAAAAAAATCTTTCATCAAAGTTGACAATTTTTTTCATTTATCTCATAGCTCTTACAACCAAGAAAGATCCCTAAATGTTTATAAACACAATGTATCACGTACACGCAATTTGATTAAATTAAAAATCATCTGTTCCTGAACGCAGGACAAAGTTAACATAGCCATGTAACAGATGATTTTAATCAGATGATGTACATGGTTCAAATTGTTCAATGATGATATTCTAACATCTTTCTAAAATGACCGCATTAAAAAATGTCCAAGTGCTATGTGTATATATACAACGACTAGACCTGGATATACCTGTATGTCTTTGTTGTTTTGAAGGTAAAATTAAGGTTTGAAGTGCATACTTAATGCATCTCCCAGAACTGTATTGGATACCAACATAAATGTCACAAAGATGCATATCAGTCCTTAACCCTTTCACCACTGTAGACCGTAATGGACTCATCCAGATCAATTTATGGTAGAGTCTGCTAAAGTTACCTAGGGGTGCAAGAGTTAACAGTATATATTTAAAGAATGTTTATTACATTTTATGGATCTTATAGCTCCAACAACCAAGGACTATCTCAGATGTTTATTAAAACAATGTATGACATGTACATGGTTTAACTTGTTCAGAGACATATTTCTAACATGTAAAATGACCACATTTTATTACATGTTCACCAGTGAAATTATTTCACTCCATATCGTTGAAATAAATATACACCTGATGCTCCATACTCCTGAAAATATTTATAGTCTGCCATACTCATGAAATATATATGTTTCAATAGAAAACAATAAAATATCCTCTAGATATGACGAAAGATAATGAATTTTGATCAGGTAATTTCTTTTCTGTTGTAGTTTATCAAAATCTGCAGAAAGCTGTGAACTCCAGTGTATCGAATGCAAGGCTAAAGATTACAGAGAAGATATGTGCTCCAGGATTACGTACCAAGTAGTGCAGTGTATACATTGTCATGCGACAATGTTGCTCAATGACATCTGTTCTCCCCATAAACAAGCTCAAGCCAAAAAAACATTCACTTGTCCAACTCACTCAGGAAATAATGGTTGTGCCCAAACCCCTATATGTATATTATATCATCTATCTCCACCTATAAATGCCTTGCCTGTAGGAAAAAGTTATGAAAAAAGGACTTCATTTTCAGGTAAGGATTATGTAGGAAAGGTAAATTGGAATAATATTGCATCGTATAATGTTTCAACTTTCAGTCTACGCCCACTTAAACTCAGTTTACTTGAGTCTTGTTTTCTTATTTACATGTAACTTTACCTTGGTGTCATAAGGTTAATAGGCGGAAGCTTTTTATTTCTTTTGCCTATCATGGCTCCCCAAAGCAAAGGCACTGCAAAATTCAGCCCCTGCATGATGTACCTTGAATATGGTTCCATGTTTACCTGACATTCACTGTAATCCTTTTAGATACAATGGAACTCAAATATTAATCAGAGGAGATAAATCTAATTAAGAAATTAACAAATATAAATTTCAATATTGACAAAACGACAATATCAAATCTACACAGTCTATCACATGACATGTTTATGGTTAAATAAATCACTTCTTCTTTCTATGTTGATTTTGATGGTTGCACAATTCATTGAATCCATCACTAAAATAATCATCCCCTACCTTGAGGGTGTAACAGAGAAATCGCCAACCCTCGGGGTGATTTTGTTTGGTTGTCTAACCCTCGGCTAAGGAAGAGGATGATTAATTTTCTTCAATCCTATCATTTCAGTCACAACTCCACCGACAGTAGTCTGTTTGTAAACAAAAACACATGTGGAGTATAAATATCGTCATTCACTTTTGATGACGTCACAATAACCGGGGACACATTTTAATGATGTCACAATTGAACATCAGCACGAGGCTATCTCCCACAAGCTAATCTTTCCCGGCTAAAACGAAAGACACACCTGTGAAGGTTGGGAGAAAGTAAAATCCTATCACACTAGTCCAGATAAGATTTAAGTACTGATTACGACATTAACACTGTTAGCGATTGGGGAGACACTAATGACATCTTCATTTGTTTTTAGCTCACCTGGCCCGAAGGGCCAAGTGAGCTTATGGCGTGGTGCGGCGTCCGTCGTCCGGCGTCAACTTTTTACTTTAAACAACTTCTTCTCAGTAACCAAAAGGCCTAGGGTTATGATATTTGGCCAGAAGCATGCTGGGTACCGAGTTTGCTCAAATAAATGACCTTCATTAAATTTCAAGGTCACAGGGGTCAAATATGTTAAAATCTTTAAGCAACTTCTTCTGAATAACCGAGAGGCCTAGGGTGATGATATTTAGCCAGCAACATGCTTGGGTGAAAGGCTACCAAGTTTGTTTAAATAAATGACCTTGACTCATATTCAAGGTCACAGGTGTCAAATATGTTTAAAACCTTTTAACAACTTCTTCTGAATAGCCAAGAGGCCTAGGGTAATGTTATTTGGCTAGTAACAAGCTGGGATGAAGAGCTACCAAGTTTGTTTAAATAAATGACCTTGAATCATATTCAAGGTCACTGGGGTCAAATATGTTGAAAACAGTTAAACAACTTCTTCTGAATAATCAAGAGGCCTATGGTAATGATATTTGGCCAGTAGCATGCTTGAATGAAGGGCTACCAAGTTTGTTCAAATAAATGACCTTCATCCATTTTCAAGGTCACAGGGGTCAAATATGTTAAAATCTTTTAACCACTTCTTCTGAATAACCAAGAGGCCTAGGGTGATGATATTTGGCCAGTAACATACTAAAATGAAGGGCTACCAAGTTTGTTCAAATGATTGACCTTGAATCATATTCAAGGTCACTGGGTCAAATATGTTGAAATCATTTAAACAACTCCTTATGAATAACTAAGAGGCATAGGGTGATGACATTTGGCCATTAACATGATTGGATGAAGGGTTACCAAGTTAGTTTAAATAAATTACCTTCATCCATTTTCAAGGTCACAGGGGTCAAATATGTTAAAATCTTTAAGCAACTTCTTCTGAATAACCGAGAGGTCTAGGGTGATGATATTTAGCCAGCAACATGCTGGAGTGAAAGGCTACCAAGTTTGTTTAAATAAATGACCTTGACTCATATCCAAGGTCACAGGTGTCAAATATGTTTAAAACCTTTTAACAACTTCTTCTGAATACCCAAGAGGCCTAGGGGGATGACAGTTGACCATTAACATGCTGGGATGAAGAGCTACCGAGTTTGTTTAAATAAATAACCTTGACTCATATCCAAGGTCCCAGGTGTCAAATATGTTTAAAGCCTTTTAACAACTTCTTCTGAATGATCAAGAGGACTAGGGGAATGATATTTGGCCAGTAACATGCTGCAATGAAGGGCTACCAAGTTTGTTTAAATAAATGACCTTGAATCATATTCAAGGTCACTGGTGTCAAATATGTTGAAAACATTTAAACAACTTCTGAAGAACCAAGAGGCCTAGGGTGATGATATTTAGCTAGCAACATGCTGGAGAGAAAGGCTACCAAGTTTGTTCAAATAAATGACCTTCATCCATTTTTAAGGTCACAGGGGTCAATTGTCTTAAAAAAACTTTAAACAACTTCTTCTGAATAACCAAGAGGCCTAGGGGGATGACAGTTGACCATTAACATGCTGGGATGAAGGGTTACCAAGTTTGTTCAAATGATTGACCTTGATGCATATTCAAGGTCACCGGGGTCAAATATGTTGAAAACATTTAAACAACTTCTTCTGAATGATCAAGAGGACTAGGGGAATGATATTTGGCCAGTAACATACTAAAATGAAGGGCTACCAAGTTTGTTCAAATAAATGACCTTCATCCATTTTGAATGTCACAGGAGTCAAATATGTTAAAAACATATAAACAACTTCTGAAGAACCAAGAGGCCTAGGGGGATGACAGTTGACCATTAACATGCTGGGATGAAGGGCTACCAAGTTTGTTTAAATAAGTGACCTTGACTCATATCCAAGGTCCCAGGTGTCAAATATGTTGAAATCATTTAAACAACTCCTTATGAATAATTAAGAGGCATAGGGTGATGACATTTCACCATTAACATGCTGGGATGAAGAGCTACCGAGTTTGTTTAAATAAGTGACCTTGACTCATATCCAAGGTCCCAGGTGTCAAATATGTTGAAATCATTTAAACAACTCCTTATGAATAATTAAGAGGCATAGGGTGATGACATTTCACCATTAACATGCTGGGATGAAGGGCTACCAAGTTTGTTCAAATAAATGACCTTCATCCATTTTGAATGTCACAGGAGTCAAATATGTTAAAAACATATAAACAACTTCTGAAGAACCAAGAGGCCTAGGGTGATGACATTTCACCATTAACATGCTGGGATGAAGGGCTACCAAGTTTGTTCAAATGAATAACCAAAAAGTCCAGGGTAATGATATTTTGCTAGAAGCATGCTGTATTGAAAGACTATAAATTCTGTTCAACCTAATATCCTTGTTCGACATTCAAGGTCACGGGTGTCATATGTTTTAATAGGTTCTTATTAATCAAATACCAATATTCTGCCTCTGGTTGTATTTTAGTCCACTTTTAAGATAACAAGTGTGAAATTCATACCAGGTGAGCGATTCAGGTCCATTGGGCCTCTTGTTTTTAATTCATGTCAGATGTTGTAAGGAATATTGTCTAACTCTGATATATCATGTTTTGGACTGTTATGATGAGCAATGAACTTTCAATGTTTCTTTTGTTTTATATTTCAGGGAGCCCAATATTTTTCTGTTTGTTGTGGCTGATTACACTCTTTATGGTAGGTTCAAAATTAACCATTGAATAGCAATGACTAATTGTAAGATAACCACATGGTTCAATACTTTTGGTATGATATTATAATTGTTCATGGAGCAAATGTTTTGCTTCCATATATTGCCAATGATATGGGTTACCTTTACAAAGATATCTATTGTGAAACCTTTCTATCAAAAATGTCTGGGGTCTTAAAAAGTGGTCTTAACAGCAAGGTGGTCTATGAGGTGGACTGGATTGACCACCAAGAACCATAGCTCTGTATGACTATTATGACATACATTTAATAAGTCATTTTATTTGTATTGGGCACGTTCATTATTCATGAATTCAATGAAATATGGAAACTTTTTAGTCATATAACTCTCTTGTATTGACCTTTTTGTTTTGTTTTGTCTTTCATAAAAAAATCAATCCTCGATATCCAGGGGTTACGCTCACTCTGCAACCCTGGAAGATGTCATAGTAAAATTAAAGGCATGAAGATAGCTGTTTGAACGGTCTCAGGTCAAAAAGAAAATGACCAATCGCTAGGCTGATACCTGTCCTTTGAAGATTACAAAGGAGAGGCGCCCGACTATAAAGCTTGTCAATTTTTACCGTTACGTGACCGTGAGATTCATTTGATGTATATCAAAGGATCAAACTAGTCTTCACGTCTCATCTTCAAGGTGCTGCACACCGAGCCTTCGATTTTGCTTTGACATATTCCAGGGGTGCAGAGTGCGAAAATGAGCGTAACTCCTAGATATCGAGGATGTAAACAATCAACTGTACTGTGAATTTATAATGAAAGCAATCACTTCAAGTTCACTTGATATTTAATGTACACTGTTACCAGGATTGTTTTTGTATTCAATAATCTTTATGATAGATAACGCATTATGTTAAAACAAATTACACATTAAATTCTTGTTTGTTAACAATAAATACGGTCCAGTCTCTGGATACTGTTTAAACACTATACATAATTTGCTTTCATAATTTTCTCATGATTTGCCCTTGTCAACTTAGTCCTTTGGTTTTAACATAGAAACGGTTCAGATCACCACAATGTAACCATAAATGTGCTTGTTTGGCATGAAGAGACAAATGTTACCACATAGGATTAGCTCTGGGTTCTTTCCGTTCCCCAAAAAGACCAATTTGCAGTTTCAATTTTAAAGAAAACATTTTGTTATGATTGTCGAAATATTCCTCCATTGTGATACATGCCATCAAGGCCTCTTGGCTTTGTCCAGATTTAAAAACACTCTTTCCCATCCTAAGTGAAAGTAAATGACGTTATAAAATAAATGATAAAACTCTGTATTTCTTTGTCCAGGTGATGTCTGGTTGTGCCACAGTCCCGACGAAGGGATGTCCTGGCCCAGACTACGTTATCCAGGAGAATGGCTTTTGTTGTGGTGTTGTTTCCTGTAAGAGAAGTGAGTATTGGTCAAACAGGAAGGTTAGGCTATCGTCATTTTTTTTTGGTAAAGATGATGGTAGATATATGTACAACGTACAATATAATAGTGACAGTATTAATATGCATATGTAGTGGAACTGGACTGGTTCGATTGTTGGCGACCAGTAGAGCTGTAACAATACATTAACACAATACATATATTGACAGTAGAAGCAGTGAGGAAAGATATGTTGCACATTTTTAATAACAATATTACAACTAGAAATAGACTTGGTCCAAAATGGACATGACTTTAAATGTTTCACACAATTAACCTCTTTCGACGTACATGCCGTGCTTGAGCTCTCATTTGGCGTGGTGTATCCGATGTAAGTGGATTAAGTTTAGAAATGACAAAAAATATGTTAGGTGTGTCGTGTCCTCCCTATATATATTGTGTATCGTCGAATGATATATCATTGCAGCCGTAGTGATCAGGTACAGGGAATGTAACTCATTTGTCAGAGCATCCATCTAGAGTCTGGAGGGTCCCTGAGTCAAAGATCAGGTACAGGGAATGTAACTCATTTGTCAGAGCATCCATCTAGAGTCTGGAGGGTCCCTGAGTCAAAGCTCAGTATGGCTGTGTATTTCTCTTTCTCCTATTACACATATATAAAATCATTGTTATTAAACAAACAAAAAATTCTTTGTTTTGGGTTGGTGAGATTTTCATGAAACAATACTTACAACCAAAGCCAAAATTCAAGTTTGATGCTTTGTGATAATCCGGTTTATTTAAAAGACTGCTTTTACTAACGTTTTTTTCGATATTTTGTTTTATGTGGAGTGAATGAGGCAAAATTGAACACAAACTTTTTACGATTTTTAAAATTTGTTGTTGTGACATTTCGATTTCAGCAGACTGTCTTCGTAACAGTTTGTTACCAAGTCTACCTATTACTGACTTCTGCAAAACAAAAAACCTTTGTTTCTTCTTCTTTTTTCGCTTTCCAGCCAAGATTGACACACTCAATACATAACACATCAATAGAGTTTGTTTTCATCTAAAAATGTCAAAATTTTCAATGTTTTCATATGTGTTGACACTTAACTATTTTGAGCAAAAAACTACAAAATATCCCAAATTACGGTATAATAAACTTACAACAGTATACAAGCAAATATCTTGAATTTTATTCCTTTATATAATGGGAAAATCAAAATAAGCCTTTCGTTATTCCACCTTAGAACAACACATTCAACATCATCCACTTATCATTTAATTACCTTTTTGTTTTAGATTTTTCAGTTTCAATGTGTCAGGTTAATTATGGCAACGACACATGTGTTCGTTGTCCGGATGAAAGTTTTCTGTTGGATCCCACAACTTCAGAAACTGCCACCAGCTGTGTGAAACCTGTTTGTATGAAAAGTATGTGTGATACATTTTTTAAGCTCACCAGAAGTGAATGGAGTGTATTGTGTGTTGCAGCCTCTGCTTTCAGTCCGTCAACATTTGAAGCAACTTCTTCTTGAAAAAAAACGTTTTCTCATATATATTACCTTCACCTACTTTCAAAATTACAGGGTCAAATATGTGAGAAATTTTAAGCAACACCGAACCAACTAATGCCATGATATTTGAATATTATATGTAGACCTGCATATTATAATAATGTTGTTGCTGAGGATGAAGAAATAGATACAGTCACGCTACCAGAATTAACTCGGAGGAAGGCCCAGCCCCTAGGGACTTCATCTTTGGTTGCCACAAAACTACCCACTTTTTATGTCACGACAGGAGTTATTGATAAAATATTATATAGGATATAGTGTTATTCTTGTCACACACACCGTCACTTGTTGCTAGGGCGTTGGGAAGCACCCTTCCATCGACTCAATGTAAAAAAGAATGTGACAGTGTGAAATGAACAATTTGTCTCGACCAATCCAATTTTAGGATTTTCACTAGAGGTATAATAACTGGGTTTCGGTCAGCTATGGACTAAGTACTGCAGCTAGAAACTCAACATGCTTTTATGCCTTTTAACTGAATGAGTAGCACATGTTGCACAACATATTAATGATGTTGACGTTTGACCTCTTTGACCTCGATTATTTTTTTTATGTTAAGTAAGCTACAGACTCAGTACATAAAGTGCTAAGTGTAAGGGGGTTGTACACTCATTTCATTGCTATTATATGACATAGCATCACAGTTCATCTTCAAAATGGAAAATTTGTATCGTTTGTGAATACACACGTGTATAAGTGCATAAATAAAACAATCAACAAAATTTGGCGTAATTGTATCAATTGAGTTCACACAAGAAAAGAAAATGACAATTTAGCCATTATTTAAATTATTGAATTGATTGATTTATTAATGCCAAATATTCAAAATGAAAAAGATATATACCGTTATTGCAGGAACTTCTTGACATGTTTTGTAGGTCGGAACTCGTGTGATGTACTAAATCTTTTATGGCTTTTTCCCTCGGGCACAGTTCTCTAATAATGTTGTCAGGTGATCTGATGGCTCTACAACTACATCCCCCTGGCAACACTACAACAGAAAAGTTTTTGTTTAATATTTCACTTGAAAAATTGTAATTCATTGTCGGAAACAAAACCTTTTTTTATCTTCGCCAAATCTGCAATCTTTGAGATTCAGGGACAGAATCATGACAAGTCTCTTTTTAATGAATTACCTACAGACAGGACAAGGCCATCCCTGGTGAAATCTACAACTGTTGATCAGTTTGCCTGTCCCCAATGGTGTGAATGTGACCTCAGCTTTAATTTCTGTGGAACAGACCCTTGTAACTGTCGGAGAGGGACTTGCCCATACCGCACCATTCTGCAGCAGGATTGTGGATGTAGTCCGGTCACACCCAGGTACACCATATGACATCTGTATATACAGTGGAACCCTATACTTCCTCAAACATTACTTGAAGACCCCCATTTATCAAATTCTTTGCTTGGTCCCAAATATCTATTTTGTAAAGTAACCTAAGATTACCCCAAGTGTTGTTCCTTGAATAATACTCTGTGTTCTCAAACTCTAATTTATCATTCTTTGTCAAACTGGTAGGGCGGTCTATGTATCACACCTTCTGTCCGGGCTAGCCAGGCATCACATATTCAGAGGATTAACAACAGTGTATTGTGTCGTCAATTATCAGAACTACAACCCTGTTGTAGTTTAATCATCAGTTTGTGTCCACATCTAAATGATGTTACGACCATGTTTGATATGGAACTTAGAGAAATATTTCCATTACTGGCTTTTTCTAGCAAAGACGTTATTCAATTATTCAACTATAGATTTTGTCTTCTGCTGAGGGGATATTGGAAAAACAAAAATAAATTTGCTGCCCAATGGCAATATTTAGGATCTCAATCTTTTCTGTTCTCTCCAACCTACTCTTTTTTTCTCAAGAAGTTACTCTGTAGACACCTCTGCTTAGCCCGTCTTCGTTAAACAGTGACCGGATGGAGTGACATGCTATCTTGTCCAGGTTATGATATGAGTGTCATTCTTATATCTCCGGGTTATGATCTTTCACTGACCGGTTGGAGTGTCATGCTTATGACATTTCAGTGACCGGTAGATTGTCATGCTAATATGTTCATGTTATGACATTTCAGTGACTGGTTGGAGTGTCAGGCTAAAATGTCCAGGTTATGACATTTCAGTGACTGGGTGGAGTTTCATTCTTACATCTCCAGGTTACGACATTTCAGTGACCAAATGGAGTGTCATACTACCGTGTACAGGTTATGACATCCCAGTGACCGGGTACTCGGAAGATTGTTCAAGTAACCATTTGACCGGTTTGACAACCCTATTAATAACATATACATTTAATGTAGGATCATAATCATAACTCAAGTCTCACTGACTAAGTGTGTTTTTAGCTCACCTGCCTGTCATGGCGCAGCGTTTGTCGTCAGTCAAAACAAAAATTGAGAATAACCTTTCAAGGTATCAGGGGTCAAATATGTTAAAAGCTTCAAACGACGTCTTCTTAAGAACTGAAAGGTATAGAATCATCATATTTGGCATGTAGCTTCTTGGGAAGGAGCCCTACAAAGTTTGAGAATGAAAATAACCTTGACCTATTTTCAAGAGATCAGGACTCAAATATGCCAAACACCTCAAACCAGTTCTTCTGAAGAACTGAAAAGTTTAGAACCTTAATATTTGTCTGGAAGGTTTTTGGGATGAAGCCCGACAAAATTTGAAAAGAAAACGACCTTGACCTACATTCAAGATCACAGGGGTCAAATGTGTCAAACACTTCAAACAACTTTTTCTGAAGAACTGAAAGTTATAAATCATAATATTAAGCTGGTGGCTTCTGGGGTAAGAGCCTATAAGAAAGTTTGAGAACGAAAATGGCATTGAACCTGCTTTCAAGGTCACAGGGGTCATATATATATTAAGCCGGTGGCTTTTGGGGTAAGAGCCAATGAGAAAGTTTGAGAACGAAAATGGCCTTGAACCTGCTTTCAAGGTCACAGGGGTCAAACACTTCAAACAACTTCTTCTGATGAACTGAAAGGTATAGAATCTTAATATTTGGCTGGTAGCTTCCTGGGATGGAGCAAACAAAGTTTGCGAATGAAATAACCTAGATCTACTTTCGAGGTCACAGGGGTCAAATATGACAAACACTTTAAACATCTTCTTCTGAAAAACTGAAATTTATATAAGATTAATATTTGGCTGGTAGCTCCTTATGCGGTTAAGCCTGACAAAGTTTGAGAATGAAAATGACCTTTACCTAGTTTGCAATTGAAATATTTGTAAAACAGTATGATATTTAATGGAAATATTTTGCTTTGACTGCTTCAATATCAAGATGAGCGATACAGGACCTCTGGGCATTTTGTTCAGTTTATTAGACAGACAAGATTCACATCTAAAGGTGAGGCTTCATCAGGACAACTTTACAATGTTTTAGACAACTAAAATACTCTACAGGAGACAATGAAAATCAATGTATTTCACATTTCAAAACTAACAAAAGCTTAATCCCAACTCTTTGAATCAGGATCATTTTCTACTCAGTGTTGTCAAATATGATTCTGTCATAGTTCATTGCTTAGCAGCTACTAGAATATATACTTATTTTTAAGGATATAATTTTATAATGACAAACTTTTTGTTTCAGTCCTCCTACAACAATGCTTACATCTTCTAAGCCTAGAATCGATGTGTCCACCAAGGCCTCTGACGGCCAGCCGTAAGTATACAACCTTTCTTCTCTAACAACTACAACTAAAGATACATGCAGGCTCCCTGACAATCACCATTAAGTTTACAGACATGTCCTTCAATGTTGTCAAGAAAACATAACTGCCACACCCCTTGACAACCACAAAGTCATATAGACAATAGCGCTACATCTCCTAACAAGAGCAAGATAGGCATGACCATGGTTTCTTGCAGAAATTTCACCCTTTCACCCCTAGAGATTAATTATGGACTTTTCCAGATCAAAGGATGGATGTACTATAAAAGTCAATCAGGGGTGAAAGGGTTAATTTGATTGAACTTTATAGTTCTCCTTCCATCCTTTAATCGGGAGAAGTCCATAATTAGTTTCTAGGGGTGAAAGGGTTAAACAGTTCTGTGAAGACTAATCCAAACAACATGCCACTGGATACTAATAGAATCTTTCACCCCCTTGGGGGTGAGATAAGAGAATCTCAACCCGAGGGGGAGGATTCTTAAGTTGCCAAACACGAGGCTTTGCCGAGTGTTTGGCAACTAATGAATCTTTCCCCGAGGGTTGAGATTCCACTATCTCTCCCACAAGGGGGTGAATGATTCTTTTTCTCTTACCCTGTTCTTTGATTGTGTATCATATGCACAATGTAATGATAACGTTACATGCTAAATTCAGGGTTGACGTGACGTTGATGGATTGTTGACGTGACGTCATTGTATTGTTAAAGTGACGTCATGCCATTGTTAGGAATAGGGGAATTCCCCCATCTCAACCCTAGGGTGAGACAAGGAAATCTCACACCGGTAAAAATGCGGATACACCTGTCCAGGGTAAGAGAAAGATATATAATATATGTCAACCATATTTAAACAGGCACCGATTACTGTCAAAACTTCTGTCAAATTAAAATTATAGGGGGATTAGCAGCCTGGCGACAGCCCAAATCCTGCTGTAAAGCTACAGTTAAGAAGTAGTCGGGGTTATATATTTTGAAGAACATGTTTCACTAATCGGACGAGACAACACTTGTGTGTTTATAACTACCGTAGGCACAATTGTCTGTTGTTAACAGAAATATAAAGTATGACAGTCACACGAAAAGAAATGTTTACAAGTCATGACTGTTAGTTTTATAAATTTTTAGAACCAAATGTTCTTAGTAAAAACGTTTGGTCTTTAACGATTTCTAAATCGACAAAATAGACAAATATGAGTTACTGTATACATATACATGAACCTGAAAAAAACCCAACAATTACACAAAAACTCATGATCATGAGGCAAATTAATTAGAGGCTATGCAGGGGTTGGTGGGTGGGTAAGCGAAAACAAACAAGTGTAATCTGCCAGCACTACGAGAAATGAAACTGAAGCTGGCAATACCAACACCCCTCTAAGACGTAATCGCTGATTGGTCAAAAGTTACTATGGACTGATTAACATATACTATGATACCTTATATGGTAAGACATCTAATTTGCATAGGTAAACACTATCGCTCTTCGAAGAAGAACACATTCCATAACTAGGTAAAAGAAGGAATTACAAAAATGAACATAAGGGAAAAGGTCTTATATATCCTAACACTTAATATTGCAAACATAACAAAACTATCACATCTACAATGACAGCAGCCAAGGCAATGGAAGGCTTACACAGTTATATATAAACTATAATTTATCATTACATATCAAATTATTCTTAAGCACAAGTACTGTTCTTATATGTTTCAGAAATGAGGGTGCCATCATTGGTGGTTGGGTAGGGGGTGTCATTGGTGTCCTTGTTCTCCTTGGCATTATAGGAGTCATTATCTACAAATGCTGTAGCAAGAAGAAACAAGGAAACAAAACTAAATTTGGTTTGTATAAATTGTGTGACATTTACATTGTAGCTTAAAATAATTCTATACTATAGGTCACTTTCAGCAAAATATATATTTTTGTGTAAAATTAGGGGGATATTCATTTACATTAAATGCAAATTCTAATATGTAAAAATAATTCAATTTGGGTTATTCCCCAAATACTAGACTGTTTAGACTATGTCGTATAACCTAAAGACACAGAAAGTGATGACAGTGTTGTATACAGTGATGTTTGGTGGGATATTTGTAATTCTAATCTCTGATTGATCGAAGTTGCTCCACGTTGAAATTTCTGCAAAATGTTGCACTTTGTACAAAATTGTTTTTTTATCAGAAATAAGTATTAATATTCATCTGTTAAAAAGGTGTTGTCTGTCTTTTTAAACTAGATTATTAGGGATAACTCGAATTGTATTGGGGGTTATATAGCATTCACCAATTAGACTTTGCAGATTCATGCAAAGTGCACACAGCTAATTTTTCAGTATGTACAATATTATATTCATAAAATTATTTTACAATAACATGAAATAAGAAGATGACACATTTTTTTGAAAAACTCTTTAGAAGATTTTATTCGCTCAAGAAAATAAAATACGTGAAAAATATATCAAATCATGTAATAATATAGAATAAAATAACAATGTACAAGACTGACTGCTTAGAAATAAACCTATAAATATATGTTAAATATATTCATATAGGCATTCAGAGTGATATATGATTTGCTCAAAATGAATGGTATTTGACATTTCAGTTCAACACAGCAATGGGACCACCAGATCACAATCAGGGACTTCTGAATCAACAGGCATTGAAGGAGAAGAAGACTCTGAATCTCTCCCTATATCTTCTGTATTAGATGCAATTTGTAAGTTCACATCAGTTTGATGTCTTGTATATGATAATCACAAGAGATTAAGTCTGGGGTAGAGAAATTTAGGGTAGGGCAGGGGGTCTTCACTTCACCATACTAGTGAAATGACGGGTTTCAGCATATTTTTAGCTCACTTGCCCTAGAAAGGTGAGCTTATGCCATGGCGCAGCGTCCGTCGTCCGTCGTCCGTTCGTCCGTCCGTCCGTCAACTTTTGCTTTAAAACGCTACTTGTCCTGAACGGCCCAGTAGATTTTGACCAAATTTGGTCAGAAGCATCTTTAGGGAAAGGGGGACAAATTTTGTATAAATGGTGGGTGTGGCCCCCCTGGGGGCTGAGGGGCGGGGCCCAACAGGGGAAATATAGCAAATTCTTTAAAATCCTTCTTCTTCTGTAGGAATGAAAGGATTTGTTCCATATTTGGTCAGAAGCATCCTTGGGGAAGTGGAACAAACTTTGTATAAACTGTGGGTCTGGCCCCCCTGGGGGCTGAGGGGCGGGGCCCAACAGGGGAAATATAGCAAATTTTTTAAAATCCTTCTTCTTCTGTAGGAATGAAAATATTTGGTCCATATTTGGTGTGGGTCATCCTTGGGTAAAGGGTAACCAATTTTGTATAAACGGTGGGTGTGGCCCACTTTGGGGCTGAGGGGCGTGGCCAAATAGGGGAAATATAGCAAATTCTTTAAAATCTTTCTCCTTCTGTAGGAATGAAAGGATTTGTTCCATATTTGGTCAGAAGCATCCTTGGGGAAAGATGAACCAATTTTGTGTAAACTGTGGGTCTGGCCCCCAAGGGGCTTAAGGGGCGAGGTCGAATAGGGGAAACATAGCAAATTATACTTTAAAATCCTTCTTATTCTGTCGGAATGAAAGGATTTGGTCCATATTTGGTGTGGGTCATCCTTGGGTAAAGGGTAACCAATTTTGTATAAACGGTGGGTGTGGCCCACTTTGGGGCTGAGGGGCGTGGCCAAATAGGGGAAATATAGCAAATTCTTTAAAATCCTTGTTCTTCTGTAGGAATGAAAGGATTTGTTCCATATTTGGTCTGAAGCATCCTTGGGTGAAGAGGAACCAATTTTGTATAAACTGTGGGTCTGGCCCCACCAGGGGCCTTAGGGGCGGGCCAAATAGGGGAAGCATAGCAAATTATTCTTTAAAATCCTTCTTATTCTGTCGGAATGAAAGGATTTGGTCCATATTTGGTGTGGAGTATCCTTGGGTAAAGGGGAACAAATTTTGTATAAACAGTGGGTGTTGCGCCCCCTGGGACCTGAGGGGCGGGCCCAATAGGGGAAATAAGGTTAAAATTTTAAAATCCTTCTTCGACCATCGGGATTAAGGGATTTTATCCTAATTTGGTCTGGAGGATCCTATGGCCAAGGGGACTCAATTTTGTATAAGCAGTGGGTGTGGTCTCCAAGGGGGCAGAAGGACGGTCCCCAATATGGGAAATAGAGGTAAATCTTTAAAATCCTTCTTCTACCATAGGGATGAAGGGATTTCTTCCCAATTTGGTCTGGAGGATCTTGGGCAAAAGGGACTCAATTTTGTATAAACAGTGAGTGTGGCCCCCCTGGGGGCAGATTGACAGGGCCCATTAGGGAAAACATAGCAAATTCTTCAAAAACCTTCTTCTTCTGTACGTATGACAGGATTTTGTCCAAATTTGGTATGAAGCATCCTTGGNTTTGTATAAACAGTGGGTATGACCCCCCTAGGGGCATAGGGGTTGGGCTCTGTTTGAAGTTTGTTCTTGCTATTTCTCAAGTATTGGATGGATCTTTCTGAAATTTCATATGTACTTACAGCACCTACCATTGAGTGTTATATCTTTACCTCATACCAATTATTTTAAACACATTCAGGTGAGCGATACAGGCCCTCTGGGCCTGTTGTTTTTATATTGGGAGTTTTTTAAAACCAAATCTGTTTTAGTTTACATCAGTTTGACGGACTGAATATGAAAATCACAGAAATTAAATCTGGGGTAGAGAAATTAATTAAGGTAGGGGCAAAGGGGGCTTCCCTACAACCTTATCACATAACTAGGCTATAAATTTATTCTTAAACAAATTATAAATGCAAAATTATATGAAATTGACAAGAGGTCCCATGGGCCTGCATCACTCACCTGGTATTAATCTCACAACTGGAATCTTAAAAGTGAACTAAAAGTAAGCTACAGGCAAAAAAGTAATTCAAAAGAACCCGGTGAAAAATTTAAACACATTTGACCCCTGTAACCATTGGTGGTTGGGTAGGGGGTGTCCTTGGTGCCCTTGGTCTCCTAGGCATTGAAGGAGTCAATATCTACAAATGCTGTTACAAGAAGGAACAAGGTAACAAAACTAGATTCGGTTTGTATAAATTGTGTGACATTTACATTGTAGTTTATACAATTTTTGTGTTGCCTACGAAAGCTGTTGACACATAGGTGTTGCTTTGTCGGCGGCGTCCAAACAGAGGTTTTCGTGCAATAACTTGAGTTTCCTTGCGCCGATCAAACTCAAACTTCATGCAGTGCTTCCTTACCAAAAGTGCTTGCTTGGGATTGCTTTTCAGGTCCGAAGGTCAAAGGTCAAGGTCACTGTTACTATAAATAGAAAATCTGTTATTGTGCGATTACTTGAGTTTCCTTGGGCCGATCAAACTCAAACTTCATGCAGTGCTTCCTTACCAAAACTGCTTGGGATTGCTTTTCAGGTCCGAAGGTCAAGGTCACTGTTACTATAAATAGAAACTTCACTAAAACTGTATACTAGATGGCTTTGATCTACCACTTGACCTACCGTGTAATCCTCTGAAATGCCGTCTTACTCCAAATGTTATTGACAACACTAGCTGTTTAACATCATAATCCACAAGTTTATTCATTTATTTATGAGAAACCATCCGACAAATCATACAAATTAAACTTGGAATTGAGCAAATGAGTATCCATAGCAAGTTCCTTAAAACTCAGAGTATTCTTCCCAGAATAACAGATTATATAACAAAAAGATGCCATCCAAAAACATAATCTATGATTATTGCTTACTTTTAACATTATTTCTTGAAATGAAAAATGTATCTATTTCTTCGTAATCTCCCAGCTTCCTGCGCAGGCGACACATCCACTTCCGTGGAATTCTTGTTATACTATAGGTCACTTTCAGCAAAATATATATATTTTTGTGTAAAATTAGGGGGATATTCATTTACATTAAATGCAAATCCTAATATGTAAACATTATTCAATTTGGGTTATTCCCCCATTACTAGACTGTTTAGACTATGTCGTATAACCTAAAGACACAGAAAGTGATGACAGTGTTGTATACAGTGATGTTTGGTGGGATATTTGTAATTCTAATCTCTGATTGATCGAAGTTGCTCCACGTTGAAATTTCTGCAAAGTGTGCTTTGTACATTTTTTTTTTTATCGGAAATAAGTATTAATATTCATCTGTTAAAAAGGTGTTGTCTGTCTTTTTAAACTAGATTATTAGGGATAACTCGAATTGTATTGGGGGTTATATAGCATACACCAATTAGACTTTGCAGATTCATGCAAAGTGCACACAGCTAATTTTTCAGTATGTAAATAAGAAGATGACATAATTTTGAAAAAAAATCTTCCTTCAAAGACTTTATTCGCTCAAGAAAATAAAACTTGTGAAAAATATATCAAATCATGTAATAGTATAGAATAAAATAACAATGTACAAGACTGACTGCTTAGAAATAAACATACAAATGTATGTTAAATATATACATATAGGCATTCAGAGTATATGCTATTTGCTCAAAATGAATTGTATTTGACATTTCAGCTCCTGGGACCCCCCCATCACAATCAGAAACTTCAGTAACAGTAGACAATGAAGAAGAGCAGGACTCTGCAACCAATTCAACACCCTTATTACGACAAGACCTAGGAGAAACTGCGGTATAAAAGTCAACAAGTTCTCCGATGGTCTGCACCATAGTACATCATGGTTGCTACAGGGTGAGAGAATCACTGGACCATCAAGCCTGCCAATATATACAAAAAAGTTACAAGGTGTAGTTTGTCAAGTCAATGTCAAATCCGCGTGTGTTTTATTCTTTTGCATATAAGCAACTCTGTTTATGCATGTATGTGTTACCATTAAAGAGCTATGCTCGGGCGCCGGTGGCCACCGAGAGCTACGCTCCTATTAATACATGTACCTTTAGCTGTGGACACAAGTAATTGCAACAAATATGTAATGAAGATCAGAGAGTTTGAAACCAAGACTGCATGATATATCATTACAATACACTGTATTGTCCTTAACAGAAGGAAATAATAGTTTTAGTACATTAAATTGTTATACACATTTTCAATGAGATATACAAAATAAGTGCCATACAGGATGCTTTTGCAGCCATGCGTCACTTCTTTGGTTAGCCCGTCGTCAGAATAATGTGATCGGGTGGGAGTGTCATAACTCCTTATCAACATTATGACATTTCGGTGAGATTACACTTTTAAGTGGCCCCACATTCTATGGACATCGTCTTCATATGGTATCAAATGTTTCGAGGACGCAAAACAACGAACATGACATATTAGTTTGGATACCTTGTCGTGTTTAAAACATGAAGGTAGTTAAAATATCCACATATATATATTTTTAAATTCTGTGGAAACTTTCCACTTCAGACACTTAAAATTTGGGTCTGAAACAAAATACAATTCAACCAGGACTTACTTAAAATTAATTTATATTTTAATTACTCTTTACTCCATCCATATAATGTTATCATGATATCAATGAATTCGGCTTAGTTCGATGGCCACATTGTAACGAAGACAGCTTCCTAGCTGCAGAACATACTATATACCATTATCAATATCCAGTGGTTATGCTCAATTTCATTATCTACACCCCTGGAATATGTCGTAGCAAAATTGAAGGCACGAAGATAGCTGTTTGATTGGTGTCAGGTAAAACAACTTACCAATCGCTAGGCTGATACCTGTCCTTTGAAGTTTACAAAGGAGAGACGGCCGACTTCAAAGCCTGTCGATTTTTACCGTTACGTGACCGCCAGATTCTTTTGATGTACATCAAAGGATCGAACTAGTCTTCTTTTCTCATCAACAAGGTGATTAACCCCTGGATATATACTTGGTACACCTATTCTTATGTGAAGTGATCTGTGAAATCTTGATGTTTTATTGTATTGAAATTACATACCAATGGACATTTTCACTATTTTAATATCTTGTGTTTAATTTTGCAAAATAGTGATGTTTTATTTATTGAAATTTTTAAGCAATCAAACTTTTCACTAATTATGCCAAATATTGATGTTTTATTTCCGACTTTATTTTTGACTCCATTATTTATCATCCTTTAAGTAGGTACACAAGATATGCTATGCATTAGAGACATCACTATGTTCAGTGACCTATCGTCATACTGTAGTTTATGAACAATGTACCTCAAGTTTGTCCAGTGAAAACTATGATTAAATACCATCAATCCAGGAGTACAGCCAAAGTGGATACTTTAATTCAGGTTCGGTTGGTTTCGTTATCCCTTGCCTGGATACCAACCAGTATGCAGGGCGTTTAAAAAAAATAGGGGAAACTAAGAATAGGTGTCAATCGCAACAAGCTCTCGGGATCGGTTGAAAGCATCGAAAACGGATCCTTTTCGTCATGGTAACAACATTCGTCTGTGTGCTACAGGGGACCTAGTTTGCCCATTTGCTGCCATGAGAGAATACTTGGCCATCAGAGGTACGATAGGTAACAGGAGATACGACAAACAACCCTTGTTTATAGAATCTCCAACAACACTCAACCCATTGTCAAGGAACAAATTCCTTCAATCATTGAACACTGTTTTAATCAGTATAGGTGGGAGCAACACTAACATTAAAGGACATAGTTTCCGAATCGGAGGTGAGACAGAAGCCGCCTCCGCTAAAGTGGAGGATCACTTCATTAAAACTTTAGGACGATGGACTTCAGATTGTTATCAGAGGTATATTCGAGTTCCTACAGCTACAATCAGTAAGGCTTAGAGGGCAATGTCGAATAGCAGTACTTGTTGAATCTCCATTCCAATATAATTGCAACATCATATTCACAATAACTGCACGTGACATTGGTAATGGACAAATCATTCTATTGTTTGACAATGATACCAGTTGTGCTCAACAATTATTAACATTTACCTTAATAATTTGGTTTGTCATTACAATGCAATAATTTACTGAAGCTCAAAACAATTGAGGCATACTTATACTATTCCTCTTGTTCATCATACTATATATATACTATTACCTTACCTATCAAATGTCCAATACTAAAATACTTATATATCCCTTACATTATAGTATTGGCCATCTGATTTTATGGGCTATCCACTACTCAATAACCCTTTCGGCTTTACGGGCTATTGTTACGTTCTTTGATCCCAAGTATTATATTACTAACTATTCAAAAAGTATACATTTGTAGTATACAATCAGGCTGTTTAAACGACTCACGACGAAGAAACCCTTGAGACTCACGGCTCTTGGGCTGGTCTGTACAGCTGTCGTACCTGGTAGAATGGTTGTATCTAAGTGGAGTTGGGGTTCATCGGACCGAGTGTGGCACATGGGTTTTCCCTTGAGACTCATGGCTCTTGGGTGGCTCATCTCTCGAGACTCACGGCTCGAATACACGACATACTCTGTCTATAATCTGTTTTGTATAAATTAGGGGAAACTAAGAATACTCAGGTGTCAATCTCAACAAGCTCAGGATCAGTTGAATTTTCTTTATTAGGATACGTCTACCGGTTTTCGTCCGAACAGTAGACGTATCCTGATAAAGAAAATTCAACTGATCCCGAGCTTGTTGCGATTGGCATCTATTCTATGATTAAATATCTACAGATGAGACAGATGGCGCTACTAAAGTATCTCCTTTATTTATTGAACCCAATAACAAGAGATCATTTCATAACCTATGTTAGACACATCTTGTCCGTCTTTTGTATAGATAGCTCAAAATACTGTGGACATTCCTTTCGGATAGGTGCAGCTACTACCGCTGCTTTAGTTGGGGTAGAGAATCATATGATTCAAACCTAAAGATTTAAAAAAGAAAAAAAGAAAAAAACTCAAGAATTTTGTTCTCTATTCCAATCGCTATGGCCTTATAAATTCAACATTTTTGAATTTTTACCCCAATTCAGATATAGTGATTACAGATACGCTTTTCATATGTATACTTATTGTATTAAGTAACCAATATAAATCTATTTTAATATACCTGCCAGGCTCACCTGTCCACATGTACTTTATACAACCATACACCTGCTCAGGTTTCCCCTAGTGTCCATGTCTACTATGAAACTTTCTTTCATCTACAAACTGTCTTTCTAGAATCGAAACATACATTCAGGAGTAGCGCCTAAGATTGCCAAAGTTTATAAATGTTGGAGTAATATATATAAGATCAATTGAATTTTAAGAAGGTCATTACTTGATTACCATGTGCTTAGTTGCATAATGTCAGAGATGAGGTCATCGTACTATTTATGTATAGACATCACGTGACCATTAATGACCAGTGGTCAGTTAGTTAGGTGGCATCAGTTTACATAAAGAGATTGAGGAGGCTGGTAGTATTTTTTTTAGCTCATGCGGTAGAAAGCAATACTCGTAAACCAGAGGTCCAGGATAAGACTCCTGCCGAAGGCATCGAAAAAATAATTACCTCTGTTACAATAGCGAACCTCATTCAATTCATCACTCATGCTAGCTAAACAAATTGTTCTTGAAATATATTTTTTATCGTTTTACATAACTTTTATGCATATCAATTATGATACATGTTGATTTCTAAAATCTATATATGTATACATACATTCATACAATTATGCAAAATATGTACAAAGCATATAAATTTGCATATGCCATCATCCAGAAAATCACAAATATGAAAAATGGAGATTGATTTTGAAGCTGTGAAGATTATTTTATTAGATCTATCTGAGATAAATGAACTATGATGTTGCTTATAATAAACAACAGTCCAAAAACAGCATTCTGTGATATAATGTAAATAAATATGCATACCTTGTATTCAAAAAAATCCAAAATTGAATGAAACATTGGAAATAAAGATTAAAAAAAAAGGAAATGCTGGTTTTCAGTTTATTTATCATTCTCATTGCCTGGCAAAAACGTCCATGATAATGTTTCCTGTATAATGGTAATTTGATTAGAGGTATGTTATTAAAATATTGATCAATAAGGATTGGTTTTAGAGGTATTTACAAAACGTACCTTGTCTCAATCTAAAATAAGAATAAAGGAAAACTCATATAGACATTTTTGAAAAGTACAAAGTGAAGATGTCTATGTGTTCTTGAGGGGAGGGATTTCTGCTTTATCGCCGACACCCATCATGTAAATCGAGGCAAAATCAAATTAGTGTCATGTCCTCAAAGCGAGAAATGCGCACTTTAATTAATGGTTTCTTGTATACCCGAGCATGTCTACGTACCGTTCTGTTTATACATACATGTGTAGATAGAAGGTTCATTTATTCATCTCTGCCACTGCTTCGAAAACAATGTTGATGACGGTCATTTCAAACTTTTACATCAGGTTCAACAAGCCCTTAACGATTAAATAGTCACTCTAGATTTCTTTCATATTATAAGTCTTATTCAAAGACCCCTTATAAAAAGTAGAAATTATATTCCTGTAGGTAATTTGAATTAAATGAACTTGTACATGTACATTAACTATCAAAATGGACATAGCAAGGTTAACATAATAAAATAAAACTTCAAAGCTTATACCTTCATAAATGTAGATACAGACTTAAATTAAGTCATTCTCTAGCTTTTGCAATCTAAATGAATGCAACGAAATCACAAGTCTGATGCTCTTCTATATAAAAGGTCATGCGGAGCTGAATTTCTCCTTTACAGTCTGTGAAGAGGCATACCGGCCTCAACAAATCAAGATTGATGTTGCCATGCGAAACCACTGAAATCATACTAAGATACCTGGTATTCTATTTTAGTAATATAAATAAGAAAACAAAGGCATAGAAACCTAGATCGATATATGAACTATTAATGTATGTAATGTCATAAATGCGCTGGAAATGGTATCAACATTGAAGGACTCGCACAACTAAATCATTTACTATATGTTATTACCAAACATTTTAGCTAATAACTTTAATATTTGAAGTTCAACACCAGTGACAACTGTCTAGATTCATAAATACATACCTTGCAAAGGTTACAAAACGACTTTTTTGATAGGTTTAGTGGCATATTAGAGTGTCACAGCGTCCAGAAGTTGACAACTGGAAGTTTACAAGCATAACCGGTGACCCAAAACAGAAACGCCTCCATACATTTTGCCCCTGTGCCAATCCGCACACAGACATGGAAATATATCAAAAGTATACATTTTCCAAAAGTTAAATACCTGAGCATTTCATTTATCTAAAAATCTGTCATCAGTTCCTTATTAAACTCCCTCAGTGGCCCAGTAACTAGCCGGAACTAATTTTAGATAGGGACTACAGACGAATGAAACACTTGCTGATTGGCTGATTTAGTTGTGCGAGTCCTTGAAACTGAAAAGTTGTTTTATTGTAACATCTAATTGTAAGAAAGAACACTTATATATTCATTATTGTCACCAGATTATTGGGTTTCGTGTTCATCCTGCTACTTTCTGACATCTTCTATCGCTTTTGTGCATATATTTGTTTTGTGTGAGTATATTACCCCTCGTGTTTATATGTATTGCAAGCCTAAGTCATTACTATTATACCATGCGCTGCGTCTGTCGTCGATAGCATAACGATTCTATCTGCCAACTGCCAGGGACTTGGGAATCTAGTTAAACATAAAGATGTGTTTTCATATTTAAAAGCGAAAAGGTACAATATATACTGTCTACAGGATACTCACTTCACAGCAGACAAGGAAAAAAATATTCGTTTGAATTGGGGATTTGACAGTATTTTTAACTCTTTTAATTCTAACTCTAGAGGAACTGCAATACTTTTTAACAACAATTCCGAATATAAAGTCTTACAGGTAAGAAATGATTTTAACGGTTATATGTTAGCACTTGATATTCTAATACAGGGAGAGAAACTTACTTTGATAACACTATATGGACCTAACACTGACCAACCAGTATTTTTTGATGAGATAATGAATATTATAAAAGAATTTGGTAATAATCAATATATATTATTTGGGGATTTTAACATTACTATGGATCCGAAATTAGATTGTAATAATTATTAACATATAAATAACCCAAATGCAAGAAATAAAGTTATAGAGTTAGAAGATGAATTTGGAAATAAAGATACTTTCAGAGAACTTAACCCCAATACTAAAAGATATACATGGCGTAAGAAAACTCCTCTTAAACAAGCACGGTTAGACTGCATATTGATATCTGACAGGTTACTACCAAGTCTACCATCTTCTGTAATTGAACCAAGTGACCGATCTGATCATTCTATTTCTGTCATACACTTAACATTTCACAACTTTCAAAAAGGTAGGGGATTATGGAAATTTAATAACTCTTTATTTTTTTATTTAGAATATTTAACTCTCATCAAATCTACTATAGACTCTATAAAACAACAGTACTCTTTACCAGTAAACAACATAAATAATTTAAATGCAATTCCTTTAAATGAAATAATCTTGACTGTAAATGATCAATTATTCTTGGAAACTCTCATGATGGAAATAGGGGGTAAAACCATTTCATACTCTAGCTATGTGAAATGAAAGGGAAAAGGATCTTATAAATCAAATTAAAAACTTAGGAACAGTTTCTAAAATTACAGATTTAAATAACATAGATGAAAAGAAAAAATAATTAGAAGAAATTAGAAAACATAAGATAGCAGGTAATATGATACGATCAAGGACCAAGTGGATAAGTGAAGGTGAAAAACCAACAAAATAATTCTGTGGGCTAGAATCACGTAACTTTACTAGTAAGATAATTCCTAATATAACTAAAGAAGATGGGACTGTAATTTTAGATCAGACAGAAATTTTGAAGGAAACTAAAAACTACTATGAAAACTTATATAAGAAAAATCAGTTACTTTAGGATGTTGATCTCCATGAACTTTTAAGAACATATATTGTGACAAAGCTATCCCCCCTTGAATCAGTAAGTTTAAAAGGTCCAATTACTATTAATGAATTATCAAAAACCCTTAAAAAAAATGAAAAATACTAAAAGTCCTGGTTCAGATGGTTTCACTGTTGAATTTTTTAAAGTATTTTGGAAACAGTTAGGGTATTTTATTCTTAGATCAATAAATTATGGTTATACTATATCTGAACTATCAGAAACACAGAAACAAGGAATTATTACTTGCATCCCAAAAGGAGATGAACCTCGTAACAAATTAAAAAACTGTAGACCAATTACTCTTCTAAATAATATTTATAAAATGGCATCTGGTGCAATAGCTGAACGATTATGAACAATAATAACCAAATTGATATGTAATAACCAAACTGGATTTATTCCTGGTAGATATATAGGGGAAAATACTCGTTTAATATATGATGTTATGCAATATACAGAAGACTATGATATTCCTGGACTTATACTTCTCATTAATTTTGAAAAAGCCTTCGACTCTGTTTCTTGGAACTTTATAGCAAAAACCCTAAAATATTTCAAATTTGGCCCAACTATAATTAATTGGATAAAAGTGTTTCAACAAAATATTCACTCAGCAGTAAACATAGGGGGAAACTTATCACATTTTTTCAGCATAGAACGTGGCTGTTGTCAAGGAGATCCTGTATCTTCTGATATATTTTTTTTATTTGCAGAAATTTTATCGATTCTTTTAAGAAATAACAATAAAATCAAGGGGATATTTGTACAGGATAATGAAATTCTTTTATCACAATTCGCAGATGATACATCTGTAATTTTAGATGGTTCTAAAAGATCTCTGAATGAAACTTTAAAAGATCTCACTTATTATGCAAAAATATCAGGATTAAAAATGAATTTCTCAAAGACCCAGGTAGTGTGGATTGGCAGCAAAAAATATAGTGGAAACACTTACACAACAGATTGTAATTTACAATGGGGAAGTACAACGTTCAATTTGCTAGGGATAGACTATGATGTAGACTTACACAGAATTACAAAACTGAATTTTGATAGAAAATAAAAACCTTATAAAACTAAAAAAATCTCTTAAAGCATCATGGAATAAACGAGTACTTACACCAATAGGTAAAATATCAGTTGTTAAAACACTACTTATATCACAGTTTAACCATTTATTTATAGCACTACCAAATCCTGATGAAACATATATAAGAAAAAATAATAGTATTCTGTATTATTTTTTGTGGAATGGTAAACCAGATAAAATAAAAGAGAGATGTGATCATTAAAAGTTATGAAGAAGGTGGTCTGAAAATGATACATTTAAATCTTTTATAACAGCTCTTAAAGCAACATGGATAAGACGGGTATATAAAGAAGAAGGAAATAGGGCTCCTATTTTATAAACGTATTTTGATAAAGTAACATTAGCTAACTGTGGGCTTGAAAAATTGAAAGAAGAATCTAAACGTTGTAGTAACCTCTTTTGGAAAGATGTCTTAGAAGCATGGTACAATACTATTATCTCTAGCAATATATACAATACCAATATACGTGAAAACCCTCTGTGGTTCAATAGTGAAATTAAAATTGACAGAATATTTACAGTCAAAAATTCATGGCTCAAAAAGGGAGTACAATTTGTATATAACATTACTAAACAGGATGGATCACTATACCATTTTGGAGAATTTCAAGAAAAATATAACATAAACACTAATTATTTGACATACCAAGGCCTAAAGAATGCTGTGCATCATTTTTTTAAGAAAAAAATCATCACAATTTTACTCCAGAAAAAGCAGTTATCTTTCCAAATATACCTATCAATCTTAAGTTAATACTTAGAAATAGTAAAGGAGCACAAGACATATATTCAATATTAATTAAAAATAATGTTAAACCTACTGCTCAAAGAAAATGGATCTTAAATGATAATATAGATGAAGAAACATGGAAAAAAATATATGAATGTCCTTTTAAAACCACCACCAACTCCAAACTACAGTGGCTACAGTTCAGAATAAACCACAAAATCCTCACTACAAACACATTTTTATTCAAAATTGGCAAATCACACAATAACCTTTGCACTTTCTGTAAAATCCACCCTGAAACAATGGTTCATGTGCTATGGGATTGCGAAAAAGTTGATTGGCTAATTGACGAGCTGAAAACAAATATTATAACTAAAAACCTTACACTAAGATTTGATAAACAAGAACTCATTTGTGGTAAACACACATATAACCATACAAAGTTTTATATAGAAAACATCATAATACTACTTATAAAACAATACATATATAAAACTAATGCCTAGAAATAGACCTTAATCTGACTAGTCTCAAAAATCATATGAAATTTGAATTAAACGCACAAAAGATCCTTGTGTCTAAACAGAATAAATTAAATAAATAAAGATGAGTTAAACCATCAAATAGATAACTGGATGCAGTTATAATATGACTTAATATGACATATTTGTTCTATACATATATACATCTATTGTACTTTATCGTCTCCTCACTGTAATAATAATCATCAAATGTTTCATACATTTTAATTCGCCAGGCTTAAGTTAAAATAAAATGACCTAGAATTGTTCCCCCATCCCCTGTAATGTTTTGTGTTTTGTGTTTTTTGGTGTTTTTTTCTGTTTCAGTTTATTTGGTTTTGCTCTTGTATTGTTTGATGTCATAGGTTTATTGTTTTTGCATCAGTGTCTCAGTGTATCTGTCCTTATGTATATACAATTTTACATGGCATTGGCAATTTTTTTAATATCTGCTTATGATATCAGATGAAAATGATGACATAGGATAATGATGGCTTATGATGATGATGATGATGATAATGATGATAATGCTGATAATGTTGATGATGTCATATGATGTCAGATGATAATATAATGAATAATATCTTATATGATGAGGATGAGGAAGATGATGATGGGGATGATGATGTTAAGAATTATGTCAGGATGATGATGATGATGATGATGATGATGATGATGATGAAGATGATGATAATGATGATGATGATGATGATGATGATGATGAAGATGATGATAATGTAAGATGATAGTGATGATGATGATGTTTAGAAAAAATGTTAGGATGATGGTGATTGTGATTATGACATATGATGATGTTGAATATGATGATAATATTAGGAATGATATCTTATATGATGATGTATGATAATGATGATGATGATGATGATAATGTTAAGAATTATGTCAGGATGCTG